ACATTTTGTTTAAGGAACACTTGCCCATTCATAACCCTGAATATGTGTTAAATGTTGTACACAAAGTTCAATGTATAAACTGCGACAAGGTGTACATTAGCATGACAACCGGAAACTGAATATCCAGATAAAAGAGTACCTACACGAGGTCCGCCTTGAAGAGACTGACATTTCCGGCATTGCCCAGCATGTAATTTCTCAAAAGCATCATTTCAATCAAACCAATGTGTCTGCTACAAAAACCAACCTAAGTTTGGCCTACTGATAGAGAAAATCCTATCATGTACTGGCAGTAAAAACCGAATGTGCAAACCTGGCGAACGATAATTGATCCGATTGTTTTCATTAAAACTTCACCCTGCTTCTTGGTCAACATTTTGGTCGATCAGTTTAATAACATTATGAGTGTAACTCTTCTCTTGTTGGAAATGTGTTTTCAAGCAGTCATTTGTGTTTAACCTAGCCTGGTGATCCTACGGTATTGTTCAACGAAGAAAACGCGTCGGCAATAAACTGTTGTATCACCTCTTGTATTTGGTGCCCTAAATTATAAATCGTTCAAACACGTATCTTTATAACTATGGGCCCAGAATCAAAAGCCTGAACTGTTACTGTAAAACGCTTTGTTAGGGCGTCGTCGCTGATTCCACTCCCTCCCTCAGCAGCACCAGCAGCCTCATAGCATCATTGCGTCACGGTCCTTGAATGCCACAGCCGTCAAAAACGTCTACGTGGGGCGAGGTGGCACAGTACTTAATGGATCGGCTTGGAACCTCTGGAGGTGGCGATTTCGATCCCCGTGAACGGAAATCTATGTCTTAACCACGAATTCCCTAGAGCACGGGATTTACCACAAATTGATTCAGACCGGGGTTGATCAGTCGACAAAGCGTCGCAGTCAGGACCAATAGATGTGTGGTTCGAGTTCTGGTCAGGATCACTCCCATCGTGTATCGGAGGTTGATAAATGAGTGTCACTGTGGGGAGGAAACAGCACACTACACACTACCCTTATCACAGCAGCTGTCGACTCTGTCGCTAAAATAAGTCACTCCTGGATGATGACCCAAAAATGCAGAGGGATGGAGACGGAAATGGAAGATAAACACCTATATCACCCAAGTGGGCTGAAAGGTACAAAAAGGCATGGTATTTAACAGGCGAACGTCTGTCACGAACGCGAAAAGCATTAGTGAATGAGAATTCGGTAGAAACTTCTGAGGACGTGAATAAAACAACCTTATGACCTCGACTTATCGACCTCACAATTAGCTTAGTACGAGGCAGTGTATAGTGCAGATCGAATGGCAGAGCAGCCAGCTAGAGGTCGAATATTCACGGTTTCCAATCATGCTTTGGTTTCCTATCTTTCGGATGGCTACTACCAGGTGGCTACACTGTTTGGAAAGGCATGTAACTACAAACCTCTGTGACCCGTTAACCAGGGGTATTCATTCATTCAATGATTAACTCATTTATTTTTCAACTAAATAACTCCTTTTGGATCACGGCAACAACCAACAGCTTTAACAGGCTTCTGAAATCGACCAGGTCTTAACCTTAACCTTAACGCATTCCAAGGTGCGACGATTTCAGCTCCTAAACATAACTGAATCATGCTTGGTTTGTCCTTTATCTGTTCCATTAGCCATCTTCCGTGTGATTTTGATTTTTGTCAGGCGGGTCAGCCCGGCACATCTCTCCTTCGGCTTCCCTAAGCTACACGTACGCCTTCTCACAAAAATCAGGCGCACTAGTCCCATGGCATTAATATAGTACACCGAAAGCTCTATGACAAAGATGTGTCGCAGAAGTTTAAGAGAAAGTGAACCTAGCGCCAAAGTGAAATGCAAAATCCCTTGCAGCAAAGTAGGACAACCGCTGTAAAGTTCCAATTCGCGCAAACCTATGGAACAGAAAATGGTCGGCTATAACTCATTTCGTACAAGTAGGATCAGTGAAGCTACTTTACTGTTTTTCCTCTGTGAGGTTTAAAAGGAACGTTGAGGTTAACACCGAAAATGAGTCAAAGATCTTTGATTTTAAAAAAGCTTCGTATTTCATAAACGGAGAAGCAAATAGGAAGTGAAAGTTTAATTGAAACTGCTCATTTTCTACAATGATAATGACAATGGAAGACCAGCCATATAACAGAACAAGTCATTATTTTTGCAGTAATTTCTTGCTGTTTAAAAATTCATGCAAATCCACTTTTCAGAGAGTGAATAAGTATAAACTCTTCTGGCTAATTCATCAGACTGTTTTGACGCTGATAACCGATTATCAGAGTCGCAATTACGATGGACCGCAGGCTGAAGAAAAAAATCTTTCTCGTTTCTTTCCTTACATTTTTCAAATTTTATCCTATGCAAGATGAGGTACCGCTACGTGGTAAGGAGAAAAAAAACCCTCGGAGAAGTCGGGGCAATGCCGCAACTCACCCTTGAATCATAGTCGGCTGGGTTGGAGAACAAACGAACGCTCTGTGAACGACTGCTGCCAAGCGTCGACAGTAGATAAAACCATTTGACAAGGCCGAATGTAATGAAAAGCACAAACAAAATGACTCTCAGTCTTTCTCCGTGCAGCTGAGTCGGATTATGGCGAAATACGTCGTACGACTGAAGGATAATCTATGGATTGTAACAGAGACCGACCGACACCCAATAGGTTGCAAGCCCTGAACTGGAAGACCTCAGCTCAGGTTTGACGGTGACCTAAGAGGCGAATATAACGATAAATCACAGAAGTCAGTCGAAAGTGGACATCGAGACTAAGAAGTGGTCACTGTCATTAACTACAAAGAAGCTGTGACAACCGCAACTGTTTTTCCACGAGTACAAATCTCCCGTTACTGAATCAGCAGAAACTCTATCCAATAATGAGGAAAACACCTCGCTGTAGTACTAAAATGATAGAACGCATTTTCTACCATATATAACTATGCAGCAAGACATAGATATTTCTGTTCGACCCAAGAAAACGGTGTTGCTCTGCGCCAATGATCTGCCAATGTTAAAATTCCATCCTACTTAAACGGTCACCTAGTCTACTGGCAGCAAGAATGCGGTAAAGTGGCAGGAGACCGAATACCAGACTGACACAACGCTCTAATAGTTACAGAATTTATTCTTTTTTATTTATTATTCAACATTATAGATCAAAATATATTAACTGTAAAACGTACATGATCTCTTTATGCGGGAGGTGATATAATCTTTCGGTAAGTCACAAACGGGAAGACAATGCATAGAATGTTGAAACATTTCATGCGTTGTCTTCTCGTTTCTGACTTACCTAGAAAATATATTAATTGTCTTACATCTTCACTTCATTTACTCGTTTACTTTCCCACTCCCACAGAGTCTTAACATGATTGACAGAGACAGAACGGATCCGCACCGCTGTTCGACTTCGTCGGTCATTCTTATACTGCCTGAGTATCAAGCTACAGTAAACCAGAAAGTCA